AGTGAGCAGCTGTGTGGTGCTTAGTCACCAGCTGGGGTTAATCCATGACAGGGTCTCAGCATTTTACCTTGCCTTCTCTTACAGATTGCTCGGCCAGCTCTTTTTGATCAGCATGTGGTGAATTCCATGGTGTCGGATATTGAAAAAGTTGATTTGAATAGTATTGGCTCTCAGGCACTCCTTGCAGTCTCAGGGAGCACAGACTCTGATGGGGAGGTCTACAGTGAATGTAAGTCCATGGTGATATATTTGTATCATTAAAAGTAATTCACTCTTTCATTCCATGCCACACTAGTCTACTTGGAGATGGACGGAGAAAAGGCACACATAGGCACTGCATTCTGTAATCTAGCTCAGTGGTAACTTCAGTAGCTTAAGAAAGCCAATTGGTTGCCCTAGCATGTCCTACAAGAACAGAAGCTTATGCTGGGAAGTCATCCCAGCTAGATGACCTTAAATGGTAGCTGAAAAAATCATTCACATGTCAGTTGCTAAGTGTAATAAAATCTTTTTGAAGTTTTGTCCTAATCATATGGGGATATTAGCACAGATCAATTCTTGAAAGATATCTCAAAAAACCCATATCATTATGGCTTAATTTAATGGATAGTTGAGATAGTTTATTTTTTTGGTATGAACAGATTTTTTTTACTGGAAGTTGATCTTTAAAAAAATATATAATTTTCTATAAAGTGTAACAACTATTTTCATACACAGAATAGTGGAGTAAAGTACAAATTTTGAGGGTGTTAATTTTCATATACATGACATTGAAAAAAGATACAGACATTTTCTCTATCAAAAAGATAACTTTTGTCATAGGTATCATGTTGATCAGAGTTTGGAGAGCTGAAAAAAGAGCAATAGCAATGTGTTGTCTTCTAAATATTGTTACTTTGATCACAAAAGGTTGTTCTTTTTAATGGTTCACAATCCTATTCACATTTTCATTTGAGGTGTCTGTTTCCTACTTTTTGTGTAATTTGTTTCTATTTTGTTCTTTGTCTTCTTTCACACTGGTCATAAAAAGAAAAGGAGAAGAGAAATAACTAGTCAGGCACTTTTTAAAAAATGTGAATTGGGGAAGTTAGCTTTACCTTTTATTTTGAGAAACTTGTAAAATATAAGGGAAACCTAAGACAGTATACAAGTCTGCCACATTACAGATAAAGCTTTACTACTAAACTTAGTAGTAGAAAGGTTTTCAAGGCTGAATCTTAAAATTAATGGAAAATATAAGAATTTTTTTTGCTTTTATTTTCTTGTAAAACTCCGTTGTCTCACTACCTGTATCACTGTAATGCTTAAGTAATTAAAATATGTATGTGTGATGGATGTGTGTCTGCTTGCTTTGCTGGGGAATTGCTCATTTCTTCACTCTCTAATTCTTTGCTTTTCCTTTCCATGCTACAATATTGTCATATGGCTGGTGAGTGGCTTTTTCTCATGTTCAGAATAGCATGCAATGATATGTTCTCCTTTTTACATGGTAGATGACTCTATTACAGTGTTCCAAGAACTCAAGGACCTTCTAAAGAAGAATGCCACTGTGGAATCATTTATTGAATGGTTGGATACTGTGGTTGAGCAAAGGGTTATCAAGGTACCTTTCAAATGTTCTGCCTGACTCAAGACCAAATCCTTCTCCCATTACTCCTTACACAGTTCCTTATTTATGCATTCCCATTGGTTTCCCACATGGGATTCTTATCTCTGCTGCCATCTCCTTATTGTAAGAGGGGAGTTCTTCATTTGGTGTGAAGGGTTCCAGTTCTGTTAGTTCTAATTAATCATGTTGAGTGCTGTTGAACAGTCTTACGTGTGTGACAAACAAAGAAGTATTTTAACTAAAACATTAAAATCAGCACTGTCATGAACTGTATGTGAAAGAAACCCATCCACCTTATCTGTGCATGCAGAATCACAGGGGTGTTGCCCAATGAATAAGGTGAACAAAAGTTGTTCCTTAGAGAAGCAATTCTTTCTTTCATGGTATTTGGATAGTGCTGTATGTGGTATAAGTTAATGTAGCAGCTGGATTCAGAAGTAGCTAACCTGTAGAAGGATTTCTACAGAACAGGATGGAAGATGCAGTTCTGTAGCTTTATAAGGTGCTTAACTCGGTAATTGATGGTTTTGATGGGATTTTTTCCCCCGATTTACAAGATGCTTTATAATCATAAGTATTTTATATGCAAGTAGTTATACAGGAATGATTATACTATAGTTCAGAACAAAATAATTGAGTTCTGAGTTACAGCTCAAGTAAGAGAGATTTACCCAGTTTGTGACTCTAATGAATGTAAACTAGCAGAATAAAATGTTACATATTAAGTGCTAGTAGCTAAACATTGGTGTTCTCATCAGGTCATGTTCTATCTGGAAATGCAATATCTTATCCATCATTTTAGGGATCATCTTGATATGAATGGATGCAAGAGGAGGAGACAGTGCAGTTAGATTTGACTGGCTTGCAGAAGAGTGATTGCCACTTACAGAATAACCATGGGCGTGTCATTTTTCCTTTCTTCACCTGTTTCCCCAAATTTCAATAGAGACAGTGATATTTTCTTTCTTTTTAAAGCACTCTGAGTTTCCTAACATTTGCTGTCATATGTGAGCAGCACAGTGAGGAGCTTTGGATGATTCAGGGCAGCAGAGCCAAAGCAAGTCCTCATACACGCTTACCTCGACACAAAACTCCCACGGAAGCTGAGCAATCAGAACTTATTTTAGAACTGAATTATTATAGTCTCAAATTGATTCCACAATTTCAGAAGACAATTCCTGATAAACAAGCCAGGCAGAAAAGGTGAAGCACTCTCCCATTCAGCATCTACTATGTGATACTGTATTATTAAAGTTAACAGGTATGGTTCCTAGCGTTGTTTTTCCTGTAGTTAGGGGTAAGAAATACATGTAAGTCCTGATATGCAGCTAGGTCAACTAAGCAGAAGCTAATAATTTACAGAACATGTAATCCTTCCATTGCTGTCTGCCTTCTGTTCATGCTAAAGTGTGGTTACTGTCAAACTCACACAACAGCTCCTTTCTGTTTGCTGTTTGAGAAAGCAACAGGGCATACGTTACCACATGAACAAATCACTGCCAGAGCAAAGCAAAGTGACAGTATGAAATGAGCAGCATTAAAAGCATCAATGTTAGGGTAGTGAACATACCATTTTGTAAGAGAAAGTCTCCCAGTGTTATACAGATTACATTAAAGTACAAAGACTAATTTCTATTCTTTGTTTATGTGGAATAACATAGTGCCAGAGGGTGGGGTATTTTTCTTTCTGCCAGTATATTTACAGAATAGTTTGGCACCTTTAAGAGTAGAATATGAGCTAATTTATATACCTTCAGGGCACAGCAGAGCCCAAGCAGTAAGCAAGATGCTTTATCTAACATTGTCAGAGCTCTACTCTGGTTGCACTGAAAAGAGTGAATGCTGCTGCTCTTTGTCAATTTAGGACACACATTATGAAGACAGTTTGAATCAGGCAGTTTGATCCACCCTGCCACATCAGCCTGAGTCAAGGACTCCTTGAACTCTCAAGGATATTCAGTTGTCCTTTCTTTTCTCCTGTATGCAGAAAGCAAGTTAGCATACTTAACAGTATTTTACTATTCTCTTTCAGGCAAGCAAGCAAAATGGGAGGTCATTAAAGAAGAGAGCTCAAGACTTCCTTCTCAAATGGAGTTTTTTCGGTGCTCGAGTGATGCATAACCTAACCCTAAACAACGCTTCAAGTTTTGGTACTTGGGCTTTGTAAAAACACTTATATTATATGCATATGGGCTAGCACTTACCAGCTTTCCACGATTTCCTCAGCAGAGGAACCTGTCCTAGTCTAAAGATTCTTTGATCAAAGCCACAAATGCTGTGTAGAGTGTTTTTCAAACTAACGTTTCACAGTAAATGCTAGCAATATTTTGCTGGTGACCTGTGTCACATATTCATTTTTCAAAGGTATTTTTCTTTTCAATTGCTGTTTGATACTGCTTTGCCATTTAAGAGCTAGAAGCTCTGTTTTGTTATAGCAATGGAAGTGCAACTGTGTATCTCAGTGTAGGAGACAGAAGATTTAAATTATTAGTTTTACATGTGGATCAGTTTGGTAAAAAATGCTGCTGTATAGGAGTTCTTGTGCATGGTATGTTTTCATAAAAGCAAAAGGAATTTGGCAGATCACCACTCATTTAATTCTGGGATCAGCAGACAGTAAATTCAACAGTGTTTGTGGCTTTTAAAAATTAAGGTTCACATGTTCATCTTTAGAAATGTTTACGTTTTTTGGGACTCTCAGAAAGAATCTTTTATAAAGTAGAAGATGGTAGAGCAAGCGAAACTCACTTTAAATCTAATACATAATTTCCTAAGTTTAGTTGTAGGTACATTGTTATCTAAAATTCAGAGGGTATTTGAAATGGCTGTAACAGAGACACACACTTTTAATGTGATATATCCTTGAAATAAGGTCAAAGACTTCACCAGTTATTGTCTGGTTATTTAGCACAAGGCAAACAGAAATAGAGCAGAGGCATTCTAGCAGACTTCGGCCTTATCTAGCTCCACTGTGTGCCCTCTTCAAGTATAAAGCATGTCTCACTTTCATCAGTATTTTTCTTTGATGTAATTAGTGGTCAAATAGCCTACAGGACAGTAAACAATTGAGCTAGGTGGGCCAGTGCAAAGAGAGATTAGAGCTAGAAGTTAGGCACTATTCCTTGTTGGTCTTGCCAGGTCATTTAAAGTCCACAATTATTTGTTTGTTTCACTTGCTTCTTGTAGAGTGCTGAGAGATGGTCACAAAGATAACTTAGTTTCTCTCTCTCTTTCTCCTCCAAAAGGTTCTTTTCATTTGATCCGCATGCTACTAGATGAGTACATCCTGCTTGCCATGGAGACACAGTTCAACAATGACAAAGAACAAGAACTCCAGAACCTACTGGACAAATACATGAAGAATTTAGGTAACTAGAGTTTCTTTTGAATGTACTGTTGTATTTTTAGAAATTGACATATTTGTTTAACTTTAAACAGAAGCAGACTTACTATCTTCTCCTGAAGTTATAGTTACATGCAACATTGTCAAATTCACCTGAAAAGCTTGTGACCATTCACTCACCATTCATTCCCACCTTCCTACCATAGTTCACTTAATAACATTTTGTGGGAATGTGAATACACTGAATCACTGAAATGATCTTGGATGCAACAAATACTTGTAGGTACATCTGAAGGGCCACATGCTGAAGTGTGAAAAGAGGTAAAAGTAGCAGAAAGGGCAGGAATTCCTAATCCAGTTTTTCTGCCAAAGCCTAAATATGTAATTACACCTTGAACTAGGAATGTATTAAATGTTACCAAAATGCAAATATCCCTGCAAGGCTGGAACACAAGTTTGGAGCCCTGTGTAGCATCTGGCCGAGGTATTACTATGTGGAAGGGAAACAAAATTAATTTAAAACAGTATCCTTAATATTTTCCATCTACCAGGCTTCTTCAAGGTTAGACAGTTTGAAGTCATATGCTGCAGGTCCTTTGCTATAAAATGAATGAAGATTGACTTGGATCAAATACTGGTCCAAGTTAATCCTTAAAAATCCAGTGAAACTCAACTGGGTTTTGCTGAATTATTTTTAATGAACATTAGCACCAGCAATCAATCTTTAACTTTTTGGTTGTTGTTCCTCTAAATCTGCACTTTGCTGCAAGAAACTTGCATAGAATTTGTCTGAGAGTAGCTGCCATTCTTTTTCTTTTAATTCAACCTTCAGGAAAAAAGCTTGTCCTATGTAGCAGTTGCCTTATCCTTGGATACTTAGGTGAAGTACTTGAAACCATAAGGTAAAGTCATGGTTTCCACTGAAGAATAGCAAAACTTCCCCTGACTTTATCAATAGTCTGCAGAAAACTGAAGAACTACTGAGTATAACAAATGCTTTTCTCTAGATATCAGTATGAAAATAGAGTTCAAGCATTCTAAAATTCCCATTGTTAATTCTTCAGGATGACGTTTTCTGAGCCTGATTCACTCTTAGTGCAATTTACTTGCTGACATTTTCTTCAAAGGAATAAATCTGATTCATACCTTCACTATGATGGCTTCGGTAAGGAGCTGGCACTCTGTGATGTAGATCTGTGGTCAGGGAATATGATATAAATGGTTCCACTGGGAAGATCAAGACTAGAGCAATATTTGTATTTATTGGCTACATGCAAAATAAGGAGGCTTCACTGGGTTATAAAATAAGCAATCAAAGATATGAACAAATTGGGCAGCTCATATGCTGTCTATATACTAGTGGTAAATTTATGTGCAATGAGCATACATAACAGCCGTCAAGAGTTTTCATTACTCTTCCAGATGCAAGCAAAGCCACCTTTACCGCATCACCAAGCTCTTGCTTCCTAGCAAATCGTAATAAAGCTGCTCCTCTGCCCAGTGACACTTCAGTCAAAAATGAGTGTCTAGCAGAGCAAACCTATGCGACCTTGTCAGCTAGCCAGCCCAGCAGTGTACCTTCTGGTCTGAATGCCTTTCCCGCAGGAGACAGTGAGAATATGCAGCTGACAGGTATGTATCTGTTCTAGTTTCTCCTTCTTTTATTTGCTTGTTAGTCTTTCAGTCCACAGTAACATGTTGCTGTAGGAGGAGCAATGACCATATGCATTTATAAAGACCTCTAGTAAATTAGTCATGACCTCTGCCTCTGTGCTGATTTACAGTAGGCAGCAACTGTAGAGCCCTGCCAGTAACAGATCCTCTTGGAACAATGGTAAAACTGTCCTACACCTCTCGGCTTGGTAAGGTTCTTGTGAGGAGAGAATGAACAGTAATGCCTGGAGCACATGAGGCTTGTAACTGCTGGAATTTCCAGCTGAATGTGGCAGCCTCCAAGCTGGAGAATGAAAGCGGGAAGCTTTATAGCCTGAAGCCATGGATTAAAGAACTGTGTGTTGTATAGTTGGGGGCCAATGCATATCCTTTGCACTTCACCAGAGGGTTAGTGTCTTAACAGATCTGCTCTATTCAGCAGTACTGCAGTGTGAATGCGAATCACGGCTAATGCTTATTTATTCCAGGTCAGATGGAGCTGTCTCAAAGCACTGGTCACCTGATGACTCCACCCATTTCACCAGCCATGGTCAGCCGAGGAAGTGTTATCAACCAGGGGCCGATGGCTGTGAGACCTCCAAGTGTAGGTCCAGTGTTATCCACACATTTACAGTGCTCTTCCTACTCAGAACCCATTTATCAGACTTTGTCACAAACTAATCAGAATTACTATGGAAACAATTCCAATTACCAGGCTATGTTCAGAGCTCCGGCCCATTCCACCTCAGGAGTTTACCACCACAGAGCAGAGCACAGCCGATTCAATGCCTTGAGTGAACAGCAGTTCTCCAGAGACTACTTCAGCAACAGTTGTGCTGTGTCACCATACAGTGCTAGATCTCCTTCCAGCTATGGTCCCTCATCCATGTCTCAGGACACACACAATATGCAGTTTCTGAATACTGGGAGTTTCAATTTCTTGAGCAACTCAGTGTCTGCATGCCCAGGAGCAGCATATCCCGCTAATGCTTCCAACGGTATTAATATGTATTTTCTTTTTCCCTTCTGTTTCTGTTTCCTTGCTGGAGTAAAACACTTTTTCTCTGCTTTTTTTCTATGGAAGATGTTTTCCAGCTCTTATTTATAACTTCCTGTTTTCCACTTCTCTGATGACACACAGAGATTGTAAAGCAGCTTAACAAGCTACTTAAGGATTTGTTTTCCTCTGGTGAATCCTCTGTTGACATCAGATGCATCTGCTGCACCTATGCTAATCTTCCTTTGGCACCATCACCATATCTTGCACAAAGGAAGCAAAAACCAGGATGTCCTTGTGATTTAACAACCTCTTGAAAAGCCCCCAAAACATCTACTATGAAATAGAGCAGGCATAAGATAGCTTACCTCTGGGATCAGCGTAATGGACCATTCCGGTCACAGGGTCAGGATGGTGAAATGAAGTATAAAAATGTGCATTAGCATTAGTTTTAGACTTTGGCCCTAATATTTCTTATACTTCAAACGTAAAGTTACTGTCACAATCTGCTTCAGAGATATAGTCAGCAAAAACACCTCCCTTTTCTGGAGGAAAGACACATGGAAATTGCTTTTCTATGGATTTGTATATGCAGTAAGTATGTATTACCATGCAGATTTTCTTTCCAGGTATATTATCCTTGATTGTGAGCTTCAGAAGGGAGCACTGAACTGTGGATAGGAGTCCCCATGGTATCTCCACTGATTGCAGGCTACTGTTTGATTCTGAACTTAGAATGGAAGGGCAATTCTGTATACTGAAGGCACGACTGAACTCTTAGGATCTTTTTGCTCCCTTGTTTTGTTGTGTCTTTTGGGTCAGTCATTGCACATGTTACTAATGTTACTAGGCTGTATGTGTACATAAACAATCTTATTCTCAAGGGACTCAGCTGGTAACAATTACCTTTTGTCCGAGGTTATCACAGGTTCCTACTCTACCCTTTCTCTTCAACAGTAGTTTCACTCTGCTTTTTTCCAATCTCCTGTCAATAGGATATTATGGAAACAATATAAATTATCCAGAATCTGACAGACTTGGAACAATGGTGGATCAACATGTTTCTGTAATCAGCAGTGTAAGCAGCATTCGATCATTGCCATCATACAATGATATACACGATCCACTGAATATTTTGGATGACAGCGGAAGAAAACAAACAGGCTCATACTACACAGAAACCTCACCTTCAATTGTCTGTCGGACTCCTATGCGTAAGTATAGCTAACGACTGAGGACGAGCTATGAACTTTTTAGCATCCTAACAGGTGCTGAGTATTAAACTATAGCTATATACATATAGTATATGAGATGCAATATAGTGATGAAATAGCTCGGTACCTAGGAAGTGTCATAAGTTGTGTTTTCCTTAAAATTGCAGGACAGTAGGTTTAATAACCCTTCGCTCCCATAAGGAGGACTATGATCCATTGTCCATGAGGAGTGGAATGACTGGCCTGAACTGCAGAAAAATCCATATTAGGAAACACTTTCTAACTATTAAGTAAGCTAATAATGGACTGGGCTCTTCTAAGGGCTCTTCAAGATCCTCACTGTCAAACAGATCAAATGAACCCTGGGTCAGGGATGTCTAGATATATACTTCCTGTGGTATGGTCCCTTCCTGTTCTATGCTTCAACAACTGTGTGTGTTAGGCAAAGCTCCCACTGACAGTGAATTTTAGGTGAAATTACCTAACCACAAAGGGTTTGTTCTGGTATATGCATTAAACATATTGCAGTTGAGTTTGGTCTCACATTCCAAAAAAGGTTGAATGGAAGATATAAAACTAAGGCACCATTTCTCCACAAGATTACCTCTTCCTACTACTTACCTGTTAACCTTGCACAGAAGATCAGACATTACTTGCCTCATTAAGGCTTTGCAAGAATTCAGTGCTCAATTCTTTAAAGGACGCTAAAGAGGGGGAAAAAAACTCAGCACCACCACACAGGGACTGTGCCCGTCAAGTATCTTCTGTATTGATATGTGCCAGGTGGTTGCAGTGGTACCACCAGTCAATATGGACCTGAATGGTATAAGATACGGAAAGACGAACATAGTGCACATAAACAGCTTTGCACAATTTTCATAGCAGATGGCTCATATGTAAGCCGTAAACTTCAGGCCCGTAGCTGGATTTTCAGCAGAGCTCAGTTATACATCGGTTTTGACCTATTCCCTGATGGTGTAAGGAGCCACTGAAGAAAAGTTATAGAAGCATAGGTAAAATGAGTGAAGTATAGAAGTGTTGGCGTTTCCATCCTTCAGATGGTGTGTTTGGTAGATAAGGGTTTCCATCAGATGAAATTGGGTCGTGTTTTTTATGAAATTCAATAGATAGAAACCTTGCAATGATGGTAACTTTTTTTTCCCACAGCTTCAAACATGCAAACCACATCTTCTTCCCAGTGTATGTATGGAACATCTGGTCAGTTCCCTTCTCAGGAAAATCTGGACTCCCATGGCCCACCAAGCAGAGATATGGTGTCATCTTTACCACCAATCAATACTGTCTTTATGGGAGCAGCTGCTGGAGGAACCTGAACTGGGAGAGACATGTCAGTGCCTTAAGCTTACTTTCCAAATCCAGACATTAAGGCTATGATGACAATCCCCTTCAAGTTGGTGGAATAGAAAAGTATTACATATAGGTGTTAAAGGAGCCATTTTAGAGATATTAGCAGCCCTCCACACACAAAGAAAAAAGCTATATTCAGATTGGGTCCTGCTTGTGAATCACTTGGCATTGTTTCATTCAGAAATTCATTGTGAGCAGAAAGAACTAGTGATTCTTGCAAGCAAGATTAAGTTGTAAAGAAATGATTACATCTATTCCTAATTTATTAAAAATGCTATTTTAGTCTTTCACTTGTATCTTTTTGTATAAAAATGTTTATTTAATGCCCGTGTTGCTCATTATTTATTAGGATCACAGAGTAACTGTTTACTTTCTCTTATTTGACAGATTGTCAAATGTATGCATCCTACCTCCTATGGAAATGTTTACAAGGTCAATTTTTACTGTTTTAAATGAAACTAAGCCAAATTCTTAAGTTTTTTAACTGTTGTGCTCTGGAAAGTCAATTTCAAATGTTTAGTGCCTACTTGTGTAAGTGAAAGTCCTCAGGAAATAAATAAAACATATCGTGGGGATTTTTTTTTTCTTTTAAAATAAACCACTTTCTCTTAAAATAAAACCAATGAAACCTGCAAATGTCATAAGCCAACTAATTGCAGTAGCCTGCTACTGTAGCTGGACAACTGAAACAAATGAAACTATGTCACAAAATGTCATGAGATTTCAAAATTACTTGTGGTATGAGCCCAAGATTTCTACTGGTGGAAATCCACAAAAAGATGTCCATCAGCTTGCATGGGTTTAGGGCAACTGTGTATACTGAGACCAAAAGTTTTAAAGATGATTAAAAAATATTGCAACCCTCCAGATCAGCTATTTTAATAATAAAAAAAAAATTTACAAGTGCCATGATATTCTGTATACAAATGTACATTTATGTATGGTTTTGGAGAAGCCAGGTGAAGAATATTCACCAGTGGTATTAAAGAGGACAGAGAAGAGATGAGAGAAGACTTAAAAAACAAGCTTCTTGCTACACATTCATGAAATAACAGGTGTTATTTTATGATCAGATTATCCTAACATCCAAGATTTGGATTTAAATCCAGTCTTCTGAAGATATTTCATGTCCATATTCCCATTCAGTCCATTAAATATACGCTGGATATTGTGGAATTAGATAGTAGGGTATTTTTGGTGGAAGAAAAGGGATGATACCATGATGAAGTGTTTATTTCTAATCTGGTATAACTTCCTTTAATGTTTTCTATCATGAGAAGTCTGACACCAGCAGAAAAGTAATAAGGAGCTTTTACTGGGCTCATGAATAATTCTTGATCTGAAATATGCCGAAATGAGACACCATAGTTCAGTAATTGAGATGTAGAAGACTTCAGCTCAATTGCTTCCTAATTCAGGGTGAAGTCTTATGTTGTGACCGAAAATGCCATCGTGATGCAAGAAAGTTTTGGTTCCAATAAAAATTCCCAATGACACATAGTCGTAATACAGGCTATTCAAACAAATATTTATTGGACAAGGCTTTACAGCGAGTGAAGTAAGTACTGCAAGAGAGTTCGTTCTTTATGATTATTCAAAACAGGATATATTTTCTCCCAAAATTAGTCCTATAAGGGTCAGGTTCCCCATCTAAGTGGGTCACACAGATGTCCTCTATAGTCAGTGAAGGGAGAGAGATCCCTCCCATTCCAAGTGAGATATGATGGGTAAGGGCAGTACGAAGAGAAGGGATATGTCACTATCCTGAAATGCTTGGCTACTTCTGCTGACAAATGATATGGCCTAAATAATTACTTTAAGCTGGAAACTTCTTGATTGTAGAATTTACTTGAAAGCAATATTTACAATTTAGAGGAAGGGGCAGCCACTAGCAGACAGGGTCTTAGTCCATCAGGCCGTACATAAAAAGTTATGGTTGTTGGTACACAGTGACTTTCATGTGATTTATATGCATAATTTCCAGTCATTTTCTTTCTTTCATGTGAACTATTTTGCAAGGGGGGTGGGGAGGGTTGGCATAAATTACTTTATCTGCACTTTATCTGAGATAAGAAACAATATTCTATCATTAAATGTGCAGATTCTTGTGATGGCTGCAAAATGCAGACTAGCATGAAGTATCACACTGTTGTAAATTTCAGTTCATTATCAACAGCAAGGAGCACTAAAAAAATATTCTCATATTCAAGCAGCCAGTTAAAAGGAATCTCTCATAGATTATAACTGGCAAAACCAAATGAGAAATTTCCATCTTATGACCCATTAGTTCAGTCAAATATGTGGTTTCATTAATTCAGTAAGTTTTGTCTGTGGGAAACGGAATAATTCAGAGCTTTTGTGGATACCCCATGGGAAGATTTTTACCTTTGGTAGTGTATCAGCATTACAGTAAATAATATGAAGAATCAACGGAGTCACCACTTGATGCTCTTGTATTATTCAGTTCAGTTGCATTTTTGTGGATGCATTAGTATGTTGGTTTTAATATATACATGCCAGAAAATGTGTGATAAAAAATTGTAGAAATTGAGCACAATCAGTGTCAAATGAATATTGTCTAAAGGAAAAAAAAAAATCTTATTTTTCTGAGAAGAAAAAATGAAAAATGAAATCCTTTTGATCTATTTGCCAATATCAGTGAATTTGAACTGGAGCTAGAAAAGGCAAAAGGTGGATGAACAGGTCAAATCTGCTGCCACTTCTAAAGTAAAACTGATACTAATACAAATTATATCAACCAAGATGAAGCAATATTAGAGAAGAACCAATTGCCTTGTGTGCCATGGTCCTGTGCCTAGCAAGCAATAGGGAAACTTATAGAATTCATGTTGGCAGAGAAGTACAGTTCTTCAACTCTGAAGGCAATTAGAACCATGGAAATTTTGCTCCAGACTGAAAATTAGCAAAATAAAGTTTGCCTTTACCTTTTAAACGTGCAGTGAAAGCACACTGTGATTACTTGTAACAGGGGTGGAACTGCAATGAAGTGGGCGTTCAACACTGGTCTGATGCTGTCGGCTCCCACTGCATACTGGACGGTGAACCTGCGTGTCATAGTGTCATCCCACAGGCCAGATGCGTCTTACTGGTCCGACCAGCACCCTGCCAGCTATCTCCGTCCAGTACCTGAGAGAGGAAGGGAGCCTGCAGTGCAGCAGGTAGAGATGAGCCATTTAGCACAACCTTGTATTTAAGGCAGACTCTTAGAAGATCACAGATATGCTGGAATGGGAACAGATGCTTTATACGACACAGTGCAGTGCTGTTTCCCTCAGTGTGGGGTCAGAACTGAGTGGACTTCAGGCTTATGGAGCAAGTGGTCCTGAGAAGAAACAACTGCAAACCCCCCCCACTCTTAGAGCACTTAACGAAAAACTGTAGCGATGTTATGACTCTTGGGAAAGCAGATATTTGACACTAAAGAAGCTGAATCTGTTAGGAACAAAATCAAAGATCAGGCAGAGAAATACAAGAATCTGTAGAAGAAAGAAAGTAACAATACAGGCCCTTAATGCCATACCTCTGGACAAAGACGCGCTGCTACAGGCCAGGAGACCCGCAGCAGCGAGTACTACTGTGCTAAAATAAAAGGGGCCATCAAGCTAAACTTAAAATAGTTGAGGCTGCCTGATAGTGATTAGATCTAGGTAATACAGGAGGCCTTACCTGGTTTTGATAACTGGGAAGATATCAATTAAAGCTAGTTTTGGGGCTGATATGCCCCAGGCTGTAAGTAACAACCTTTTGTATGAATAGTTTTGGGCTACGGTTTAATTGGAATCACTAATCCAGCTTTAGGGATTGGATTAAATTCTGTATTAGCCTTGGGAATGGAGTCTGGGCAAGGGTGGGCTGGCTAGTATGGGCCTTATGACTCTTGCAGATAGAATCCTACACAGCTTTTATGATGAACTCTGTAGGATTTGGGAAGAGCTACAACTGGGTTTATGGGCTTGGATTCAGGCTAGTATGTTGGATGAGCCTGCATAATGCCTGAGCTTGGCTTATGGCTCTTGCCAGTAGGGCCTGCATGGTATGCTTAACTTAACTTAGTTAATTCAGGAAAGTTTTCTGCTTTCTTCTTAGTGATGTACTCAGGGTGAAGCTTAAATCTGAGTTAGCTTTGGCATTAGGGTTAACTTCAGGGGTTGGATCAACATGAAGCTGAGACCATGAGTCAATATTGGATTTAGAAGTGGCCATCAAGCTTGGCTTAATGCTGCTGCTTAGAGGGACCCACAAACTTGGCTTAGTTCTAGATAAAACAGAGTGTAGGGGGACCAATATAGATTAATATTATAGTCAGAATTAAAATTAAGATTTACTCAGGCAGGAACTGGTGAAAGTGGATTGTTTCTGCATTTCACAGGGGTTGTTGAGCTTATATGAAACTTATTGCCAGACCAGGTGATCTAGTTATGATTCCTTCAAGGTCTAGTCTTAAGAGTAGCCTGAAAGGTGATTTGAAATTTACATTTGGAAATGAAAGAAGATGAGCCATTTAGGTTAAAGCCAGGTCTAGAAGAAATTGAGGGAGACTACTTTGAGGGTTTAGGTGATGGAGACCACATTGTCAATCATACTTGTCGTGGTTTAGCCCCA